TTGACCCAGGTGAAATATGAAATAAGGTTCCAGCAGATGTATCTACTCTATATGTTGACTGCAGTTCTAAAGGATAGGGCAGCATTCAGGGTGGATGCCAGTAGAGTGGTAATGTTCACTAGTGGTCTAAAGAGTAAGGTGATGGTTTTAAGTCAACATAAGTGCAAGGTCTGAAATGCTTTTTTTTTAATACTTTATGTAGCCAGGTATTGGTCTATGATAGACTGAAGCTAAGACACTGTACTGTATGCATTTCTCTCCCTTCATTGAGATTCAATATTGTTGCACAATTCTCCCAGTTGGAGAGCCAAATTATTGCCAAAAATGCCCATAGATTTCCCTACAGGACACTGGGAATCTTGGAGGGTGTAGTTCAAAAATGCAGCCTACAGTATGCTTAAACAACTGAACTACAAATCCCAGCTGTGCTTCAGGAGGAGCCTGAAGTGCTTTATCTATGGGTGCCTGGGAAACGCCAGTTTCTTGGCACAAAGGAACCTGAGCAGTCTAACCTGTTAAGAGAGACAGCAGGGAGAGGCAGGCCACTTGAGAAGATCCAGTTGGTAGACTGGAGGCCACTGATAGTGAATATGCTTGCTAGACCCACTGTCCCCAAGTGCTGCTGAGAGACCAGAATGCTGTTCAGATTATCTGTTCCCATCAACCAGACCTGCTGAGTGATCTGCATCATCTGAAGGGGCTCCTTCCACTGCTGGGAATTTGCTGATACGCCAAGAGTTGGTGAGAGGGACGTTAGTCTGCCCCATTCTGTTACCCACACACAAGGCACTGGACAAAAGGATACTCTTGGCATTTGCCTTTCATATAGCCATAGCTACTTGCCAAAGCTACCTGGTGTTTCCCCCATTGAATTACATACTATTTCATATATATGCAAGCTGCAGGTGCAATACAACCTTGCTGCATTACCCTTGACATGCTGTGATATTGCTCACTGTGATCAGAGCCACCCTTGCCATTACCATACTGCTGGCAGGAGTAAGGAGCATTCTTAAAGTGCACCAACATCTTCTTAATAGGGCCTCAATGTTAGCCAGCAGAACACTTTATTTAGAGACTGCCCCTACTGCTGTTCCTCCCGGACTCTTCCTGTTTGTGTTTGCTTACATTTATACTGTTTATGGTAAACTTATTGTTGTTCCATTGACTAACCAGCCAGTCTAAACTTAGCACAGCCCCATTTAGAACATATGAGCAGCATAGTCCTCCTCCTTGGCAAATCTTACCTCTGTTGCTCACGTCATCTGTTCTGAGTGGCCCTTCTACTATCTATCCTGAACTGTGAATATTATGACATCAGGACTAATCTTTTCCTCAGCGACTCAGAGTGTTGTAATGTATTCTCTTTAAAAATGATTTGCTTAACCTTGTTTGCAAAAAGTGTAACAATATATATTCCAAAATGCTTTTACCAAAAAAAGAATCTCTGGACTGAGTTGGCTGTCACTCTCTCTCTCTCAACTTAACCTGGTGTGTCAGAGGGGTTGAGACATTTGTAAGGTCGTGGGAAAAGAAAAGAGGACCAAACTTAACCAGTGGCTCCTATGGAGGAAGTCTCAACCTAAACAACTGTTTTAATACATACACACACCTTCTGATATTCTTAAGAAGTTTTTCCCATTGATCTCCAGTTTCCAGCACATACTGTGCATAATATTGATTGACATTTACTAAACATTAAACAATTGCACAGGTGAGTACAATGTCATTTAGAATTTTACCAAAAACAGGTCTGTGAAAATGTCCCTGACATCCTCATTCCTGTCCACGCAAACTCAACTTAAGCTTATCTTAACATTTTACCTTTACATTAACGTTTTACACAAATGGGTTATATGTTTCTGGCTGTGTTGCAGTATACAGTGATCAGACATAAATTTATGACCACCCACCTAATATTCTGTAGGTCCCCCTTTTGCCGCCAAAGCAGCCCTGACCCATCGAGGCATAGATGCCACTAGACCCAAAGGTATGCTGTACTATCTGGCACCAAGCTGTCAGTAGCAGAGTACAAGTCCTGTAAGTTGTGAGGTGGTACCTCCATGGATTGGACTTGTCTTTCCAGCACATGCCCAAGATGCTTAAAATGGACTGAGATATGGAGAATTTGGAGGCCAAGACAGCACTCCAAACTCATTGTTGTGTTCCTCAAACTATTATTGAACCAATTTTGCAGTGTCGCGGGGGGCATTCTCCTGCTGAAAGGGACCACTTCCATCAGGGATACTGTTTTCATGAAGGGGTGTGTGTCAACTAACATCCACACGAATGGCAGGATTCAAGTTTTGCCAGCAGAACATCCATGGCCATCTTCTTCCATTGCTCCCTGGTCCAGTTCTGAATGCCCATTGTGGATTCTCTTGGCTGTGGACATAGGTCAGCATGGGCACCCTGACCAGTCTGTGGCTATGCAGCAACAAACACAGCAAACTCTGCTGGCCATTTTTTCTACTTTCAAAACATCAACTTCGGGGACAAGATGTTTACTTGCTGCCTAATATATCCCACTGACTTTCAGATGCCATTGTAATGAGAAAATCAATGTTATTCACTTATCCTGTCAGTGGTTATAACGTTACCTTTTGCTGCTGCTCCCCTGATTTGGACTACAAGCAAAACTTCCTCTCTTAATCTCATCTACATGGGGAGCAGGATGGTTGGTAGTTTACAGAAAATACAGAAAATATTTTCAAAGACATATTACATTGTTTATGATTTCAGTTCACTTCACAGGCAATGCATTTCTGACAACATCAACAGATATTTTCTATACTTGAAAATGTTACATATCCAAGAACTATTAAGCTGCAATATATTACATTTTTCTTTTTAAGTTGACCAGTTCCCGCCCGGCTTATAGCACAATGACGACCATGCAGGACTTTTGGCAATCCGGGTGGATGTCCTCATAGGTCACTCCTCGCGTGCACCCATGGGGCTGCACTGTGCCATGATCTGTCACCGGCTGTGTCCATCGGACACAGCTGATGACTGATTGGTGTACCAACCCGCTGCTGGTACCATGTGACTGCTGTGACCAATCACAGCAGGTCACATGACAATTGTAAACAATGGATGGCTTCCTTTCATACCATCCATTATGTACAATTGTGTTGCTAGCTGTGATTGGTCACAGTGATCATATGGTACAGACTGGGCCTTCAGGTTTTATTGTCAAAGCTTAATTGAACAAGCCAAAGTTAGAAGTCTGAGTGCTCCAGTTTTAGAAAATCTCTCCCAGTGTGTAAAAAAAAATTGTGATTTTTTTTTTAAATGTAATAAAACACCACGCCACACCAGTTACAGTATATGATGATGCTGTATTGCTCTGGTGACAGTATGTAAAAAAAAATTGTGAAAATTTTTTTTTTTTTAATCTCTTCATTTTCCAAAAAATTACAACTTAAAAAAACTCGCCATGCCTCTTACTAAATACCATGGACTGTCTACTTTCCAAAAAGGGGTAATTTGGGGGATATCTGTACTGTACTGACATTTTTGGGCCTCAAGAAATGAGATAGGCCGTTAGTACATCAGGATTGATTGATTTTCAGATATACAGTGTGTGTATATATATATATATATATATATATATATATATATAGTATCTCACAGAGGTGAGTACACCCTTCACATTTTTGTAAAAAAATTTTTCTATCTTTTTATGTGAATCCACTGAAGACTTTGCTAATTTGCTAAATTGTAGAGTAGTGAGTGTACAGCTTGAGCCCTCAATTTGCTGTCCCCTCAAAATAACTCCACATGCAGCCATTAATGTCTAAACTGCTGGCAACAAAAGTGAGTACACCCCTAAGTGCAAATGTCCAAATTGGGACCAAAGTGTCAGTATTTTGTGTGGCCACCATTATTTTCCAGCACTGCCTTAACCCTCTTGGGCATGGAGTTCATCAGAGCTTCACAGGTTGCCACTGGAGTCCTCTTCCACTCCTCTATGACGACATTACGGAGCTGGTGGATGTTAGAGACCTTGCGCTCCTCCACCTTCCGTTTGAGGATGCCCCACAGATGCTCAATAGGGTTTAGGTCTGGAGACATGCTTGGCCAGTCCATCACCTTTACACTCAGCTTCTTTAGAAAAGCAGTGGTCGTCTTGGAGGTGTGTTTGGGGTCGTTATCAATGTTGGAATACTGCCCTGTGGCCCAGTCTCCGAAGGCAGGGGGATCATGCTCTGCTTCAGTATGTCACAGTACATGTTGACATTCATGGTTCCCTCAATGAACTGTAGCTCCCCAGTGCCGGCAGCACTCATGCAGCACCAGACCATGACACTCCCAGCACCATGCTTGACTGTAGGCAAGACACACTTGTCTTTGTACTCCTCACCTGGTTGCCACCACACAAACTTGACACCATCTGAACCAAATAAGTTTATCTTGGCCTCATCAGACCACAGGACATGGTTCCAGTAATCCATGTTCTTTATCTGCTTGTCTTCAGCAAACTGTTTGTGGGCTTTCTTGTGCATCATCTTTAGAAGAGGCTTCCTTCTGGGATGACAGCTATGCAGACTAATTTGATGCAGTGTGTGGTGTATGGTCTGAGCACTGACAGGCTGACCCCCCACCCCTTCAACCTCTGCAGCAATGCTGGCAGCACTCATATGTCTATTTCCCAAAGACAACCTTTGGATATGACGCTGAGCACTCAGCTTCTTTGGTCAAACCTGTTCTGTTAAACCACTGTGTGGTCTTGGCCACTGTGCTGCAGATCAGTTTCAGGGTCTTGGCAATCTTCTTAAGGCCTAGGCCAGTGATGGCGAACCTTTTTGAGCCTGAGTGCCCAAACTGCAACCCAAAACCAACTTATTTCTTTCAAAGTGCCAACACTGCAATGAAACCTGAATATCGAGCTTTTGGTTTAGAAAAAACAACTCGTACAGTAGTGCAAACTAATTAACAGTACAGGGATGACCAGAGACTGCGGACAGTACAGGGATGACCAGAGACTGCGGACACAGTACAGGGATGACCAGAGACTGCGGACACAGTACAGGGATGACCAGAGACTGCAGACACAGTACAGGGATGACCAGAGACTGCGGACACAGTACAGGGATGACCAGAGACTGCAGACACAGTACAAGGATGACCAGAGACTGCAGACACAGTACAGGGATGACCAGAGACTGCGGACACAGTACAGGGATGACCAGAGACTGCGGACACAGTACAGGGATGACCAGAGACTGCGGACACAGTACAGGAGATGACCAGAGACTGCGGACATGGTACAGGAGATGACCAGAGACTGCAGACACGGTACAGGGATGACCAGAGACTGCAGACACAGTACAGGGATGACCAGAGACTGCAGACATAGTACAGGGGATGACCAGAGACTGCAGACACAGTACAGGGATGACCAGAGACTGCAGACACAATACAGGGATGACTAGAGACTGCAGACACAGCACAGGGATGACCAGAGACTGCGGACACAGTACAGGGATGACCAGAGACTGCGGACACAGTACACGGATGACCAGAGACTGCAGACACAGTACAGGAGATGACCAGAGACTGCGGACACAGTACAGGAGATGACCAGAGACTGCAGACACAGTACAGGAGATGACCAAAGACTGCGGACAGTACAGGGGATGACCAGAGACTGCGGACAGTACAGGGATGACCAGAGACTGCGGACACAGTACAGGGATGACCAGAGACTGCAGACACAGTACAGGGATGACCAGAGACTGCGGACAGTACAGGGATGACCAGAGACTGCGGACAGTACAGGAGATGACCAGAGACTGCGGAAAGCACAGGGATGACCAGAGACTGCGGACAGTACAGATGACTGCTGACCTTTGGGGAGGGAGGGGGAGCGGGTACCTGAATTTGACAGGTACCCGCTCTTACTTCCGCAGAGTTTTTTTTTTTATCTTACCTGTTCCTTTATCCAGCCGCGCGCTGTCTTCCCGGCTTCTGTAGTGTGGGCGCTCGTCGGACAGCCGGATGCCCAGTGCGCATGCGCGAGAAGCGCTGCGCTTTGTGATTGGTCCGGCGGCTTCTGGGATCTGTCATGTGTCCCAGGTACCGCCTTACCATTCACAAAGAGCACTGCTTCTTGCGCATGTGCACTTGGGACCCGGCTGTCACGCACACTACAGAAGCCGGGAAGACAGCGCGCCGCTGGATAGAGGGACAGGTACGGTCCCACTGCAGAGCTGAGCGGCCGGCCCGGTATTCTGACACGGCGGCGGTGGAAATACCGGACCGACCGCTCTATATTCGCTCCATAAGACGCACTGACATTTTCCCCCCTTTTTTGGGGGAAAAAAAGTGCGTCTTATGGAGCGAAAAATACGGTATTCTCCTGGCGTGCCCACAGATAAGGCTCGGCGTGCCGGCTGTGGCACGCGTGCCATGGGTTCGCCATCACTGGCCTAGGCCATCTGTATGAACAGCAACAATTCTTTTTTTCAGATATTCAGAGAGTTCTTTGCCATGAGGTGCCATGTTGAACTGCCAGTGACCAGTATAGGAGAGTGAGAGCGATAACACCAAATTTAAAACACCTGCTCCCCATTCACACCTGAGACCTTGTAACACTAACGAGTCACGTGACACCAGGGAGGGAAAATAGCTAATTGGGCCCAATTTGGACATTTTCAATTAGGGGTGTACTCACTTTTGTTGCGGGCGGTTTAGACATTAATGGCTGTGTGTTGAGTTATTTTGAGGGGACAGCAAATTTACACTGTTATACAAGCTGTGCAATCACTACTTTACATTGTAGCAAAGTGTCATTTCTTCAATGATGTCACATGAAAAGATATAATAACATATTTACATAAATGTGAGAGGTGTTCTCACTTCTGGGAGATACTGTATATATACATACCATAGTTTGTGGACTCTATAACTTTCCTACAGACTAAATAATATGCACTGATTTGGATTATATTCGCCAAAGAAATGTAGCAGAATACAATTTGGCCTAAATTTTTTGAAGAACAATTATTTATTTGAAAAATTTTATTTTAACAGAAACGTAAAAAAAAAAAAACATGTTTTTTGGAGTTTTGGGTGAAATGTGTCAGATTTGGCTTTTTGTTTTTCCACTTTTTGTGTCATACCAATACAAACAATAGAAATAAACATGAGAATATCTAAACATTTGTAACTGCAACAATTTTATGGGTGAAGTGGTGCATTATCTGACAGAAATGCAGGGGTGCCAATACTTTTGGCCATAACTGTATGTGCATTTGGGTGACATTGCCCCTTACACACAGGCAGATGCAAATTGGTTAATTTGGTATACTAAATAAAGAAATCAAGGTGCAATTTAAGCAGGCTGATTGTTTTAGAAGAGCCGAAATGCAGAGGTGCCAATATTTTTGCCCATGACTGTATATATCGCTACTTATAAATTAACAACTACAAAATTTAAAAATTTTCCCAATAGACACCAAACTATATGAATATAAAAACAACACATTCAAAAGTTAGCAATAAAGCAATTAAGGTATATGTCTATGTTTAGACCAAAAGGAACCAGTGTGTCTAATTATACTATATTTCTGATTTTTTCCCCCAATTTTTTCACCATTGTAGCGGCAGTTCTCCCTGCGGCTCTTAGCGGCTGTCAGTGGGTAGGTGCGGCAACTGGCCCTGTTCATTTTAATGACAGGTCACCGGCAGCTGCACCCATTCATGGCTCTCTACACAGCTAGAAATTACTTGCAGTGATCGCTGCTGGACGCCGAATGTTATTCCTCACAAACGTTTCTACATTGGCTATAAATAAGCTGTCACTCAATGTAAATCTATCAGTCAGCACCAGACTAACTATACCAATAGTGCTCCCTCAAAGAAAAGATAATCACTTTAACCCTTGAAAGCAGACATAAATATAATTATAAATCTTTTCTTATCCAATACCCTATATCAAATACCCATTCAAAAGTGCCCCAAATGTCCTCAATCACAATATACTCCCAAAGAAAGAAATAAATTAAAATAAATTTCAGTCTCCATATAATAAAGTCTTATCTTCCTCCAAAATAAATGTCTCTCTTTCCTTTAATCGCTGCGAAGTATCCAGATTTTCTTGTACCTCAAAAAAACATAAACTCAAAATAGTGTATTACCCTTTATAAAATATCAATGTGCCACTAATCGTGAATCATGCAAAAACTGCATAACATGTGCAAAACACACGTGAGAAAAAAAAATTATATATAAACAATATATTCAATAATCATAAATATAAAAAAAATATAAAATAAATATAAATAATCAAATAAACGTGAATCCACTTGAATTGTGAACACTCAACTGCAAACAATCAACAGTGATTCACTCCAATACAGTGTAAAACCACACTTAATATCAACCAGTGATCCAACTTGTAAAAACAACTCTATCCAAAAAATTCCCTATTCATTTGTGAAATCAAAAATATAAGTTAGATAAAGTGTTCCACTCCAACTCGTGTAGCAGTGAATAATTACCCTATAGCGGTATCAGAAGGGCATTTTTCAAAAAGAGGATGACAGCATTCTCCAGGATCCAAGTTAATCCTATGGTTTCTCCTCCATTCTCTGGTTCATTCTCAGCATCCTTGAAAATCTTGCAGGCGGTCTTGCTGGCTAGGACCCGGTGTTGCTCAGAGAAGGTGAGGATTTCCAGTACAGTTGCTGGAAGCTGGATGTTCCCAAAGTGCTGTATCAAAGCACATTAATAGAAAGTTATGTGGAAGGGAAAAGTGTGGAAGAAAAAGGTGCACAAGTAGCATGGATGACCACAGCCTGGAGAGGATTGTCAGGAAAAGGCCATTCAAAAGTGTTGGGGACTTTCACAAGGAGTGGACTGAGGCTGGAGTCAGTACATCAAGAGCCACCACACACAGATGGATCCTGGACATGGGCTTCAAATGTCGTATTCCTCTTGTCAAGCCACTCCTGAACAACAAACGTCAGAAGCGTCTTACCTGGGCTAAAGAAAAACAGATCTGGTCTGTTGCTCAGTGGTCCAAAGTCCTCTTTTCTGATAAGAGCAACTTTTGCATCTCATTTGGAAACCAAGGACCCAGAGAATGGAGGAAGAATGGAGAGGCACACACTGCAAGATGCTTGAAGTCCATTGTGAAGTTTCCACAGTCTGTGTTTGATTTGGGGAGCCATGTCATCTGCTGGTGATTTTCCACTGTGCTTCATTAAGTCCAGGGTCAACGCAGCCATCTATCAGGAGATTTTGGAGCACTTCATGCTTCCTTCCGCAGACGAGCTTTATGCGGATGCTAACTTCATTTTCCAGCAGGACTTGGCACCTGCCCACACTGCCAAAAGCACCAAAACCTGGTTCAATGACCTTGGGATTACTGTGCTTGATTGGCCAGCAAACTTGCCTGACCTGAACTCCATAGAGAATCTATGGGGCATTGCCAAGAGAAAGATGGGAGACATGAGACCGAACAATGCAGAAGTGCTGAAGGCCACTATTGAAGCATCCTGGTCTTCCATAACACCTCAGCAGTGCCACAGGCTGATAGCTTCCATGCCACACCGCATTGAGGCAGTAATTGCTGCAAAAGGGGACCAAACCAAGTACTGAGTACATATGCATGCTTATACTTTTCAGAGGTCTGATATTGTTCTATGTACAATCCTTGTTTTATTGATTGCATGTAATATTCTAATTTTCTGAGATTGTGGATTTGGGGTTTTCATGAGCTGTAAGCCATAATCATCACAATTATGACAAATCACGGCTTGAACTGTATTGATTTGCATGTAATGAGTCTATCTCATATATTAGTTTCACCATTTAAGTTGCATTACTGGAATAAATTAACTTTTGCACGATATTCTAATTTTTCGAGTTTCACCTGTGTGTGTGTATATATATATATATATATATATATATATATATTTAAATGTAAAATACTTAATGCACACCTAAATATCTCTTTTCAGGACTGTGAATAGCATTCATTCTTGATGAAAGGGTGCCACCTATTGTTGAATTTGTATAACATTTTTCTGTTACTTATTGCTTAAAACAATGAAGAATCAAGTATGTAGAACAGCATTGCTTTAGTAAAACATACAGTAATGGGCTTTTTATGTTTGTTTTTTTTTTTTTTGCTCACCACACCATAATCTGTAATTAAACCTGAACACTGGGATCCCAGTGTATTTGTAGAAACTTCAACCCCTACTAATATGAGTTAAAAAAAAGTCACTCAAAGTAATTTTATAATCGGTAAAAACAGGAGTCGCCTATGAGCTAACATGGCCACTAGATAGCACATCTTTTTCCAGCAAAGGGATAGGAACATACCACTGAGCCCCATAATAAGCACAGCATTTGGATGGCCAGCAGTGCTGTATATCATAGTGTTGTGCTATTGACAGTGATAGAAAATGGACTCTTCTAAACTCTACTGGAACCATTTTTGGCTGCTAATATTGTTCATTTTACATTAAACTTGATCCATCTTGTAAAAAAAAAACAAACGTAAATGGCTTGATTTCAGCCTAAATAGTTTATTTTGGGATGTTAACACGATTTAAAAAAGCTCATAGTAAGAAACAGCAAAAACGTACTTTATAACTAAAGACAATACTTTTTTTTTTTTTTAGATCTGATAGAGCGATCAGATAGATAAAGTCAGGTTTTTTCATTGCTGTGTGTGTGCTATTAGGGAGATTCACCCTCTCTAATTGTCCTGACCACCGTTGTCACCAGGAATGAAAGTGAGAGTAAATGCAAAATTTTGAGCTGCCCGTATTAACTGTCCTTGTTCATCTTAGCACACATAATAAACGCAGTGTTTTACTGTGCAGATAGCTGTCAGTGTGAGGGCCAGCAGGGAGCAGTGCAATGCACATTTCAGCGCATCACACTGCTTACTTTGTTTTTTAAACGTTATTTATCCAGTTGCTGAGCACGCTGCAGCCAAAGGATGGCTACAGTGCAGTTGTCCAGTTCTGGGAGGGGCGTCATATGACGCAACCGGTTCTTGCTGGTACTTTGA